AATGATTGAATTAAATTGAATTGAATGCCTTATTTTACGTGGCGAGACTCAGGCCATTAGGCCTGCTCTTCCGTCTGACCACGCAAATTTCGCTACGCTCCTTTCACCAACTAGCGGAGAAAGGAGGTATTTCTTGGGCGAGAAACAGGCGATTTTCAATTTAGCTCAGAGGCGTCATTTAGGCTTGAGGATCTTTTACATGCAAGTAAATCTACAAACATGGGACAGCCGGCTTTACTTCCCCTCCGAAGGAAGGCGTATGAAGGATTTTTTCGCCCTTAAAAATCCACGGCTTCGGGTTTGAACCCGCCAACTTGGGTACAACAGTCCAGTACGCTAACCGTTACACCCGCCACCTGATGGTCTTCGCCATGATGGCCGATGGCTGACGCCGCCATGATCGTCTTCGACATGACTGATGATCAACAATGCTGCTCAGGCAATGATTTTGACCTGATCTTTTGCATTTGTTATTGAGGCCAAACATTTTTATTTTTAAGCCAAGGAGTATACGACTATTTTTGGTACATATATCTATTATAATTTGTAATGAATTGTAAGTACTTACACTGTATAATTCTAATTACGTGAAATCAAATATATTGTCATTTAAGTTAAGACGGAGACAAGAATAGCGCTAGAACTTTCTTACAAGATTCCGAAACTCTTGCATCACCACATGTGCTGTAGTATCATTAAGTTGGCGTTGCGTTAATTGATTTCACATCTGTGGCAGATCCAAGGACGACATACCCCCACTTCAAAGCGAACATTTTTGTAATTTTACTTAGTTTATTTAAAATAATTACCATATTTATCACATCACATACCAAGGACTATTCCCATTATTAATTTACTTAAAAAAAAAAAAAAAAACTTTACTTTTTCAAATATTTATGAGGGTCCGAACTCACCCCCCTTTCACCGCAAAAACATTTCTGGATCCACCCGTGTTCCACTTTAACAAGTTTTGTCCACGTTACTTGCCTATATACTGAAGAAGGGGAAATTATCCTTACGATAGACCTTGAAATTTATGCCACTTAATTTAAAAACAGATAAAATGCACCTAAAAACATAACTGAAGCAACAACCTTCTTTGTCGATGACACGAATGTCCTTTGCAAAAAAGAAGCAATAAATAGCACGATTTAAGGAGTTTCAAATTGGTTTTGTAATAACAAATTAATAGTTAACGAAGAAAAAACAGTTTAAATGCATTTTTTTTATTTCAAATCGGAAATCGCATACTCTATTGAAAATGAACAATATGCAATTAGCTGATATTCAGGTAACAAAATTCATAGGTCTCTCAATTCAGTCAAACCTCAAATGGAATGTACATATAACAGAATTACACTCTAAATCAAGTTCATTATGTTACGCATTAAGAATTCTTCCAAATTCTCTCAGGCTTCATGCAGCTCGTTGCGTGTATTTTGCAAATGTGCATTCCCGCCTGAGATGTGGCATAATATTCCGGGGAAGCGCATCATCTAGCACTCAGACCTTTAGATTCCAAAAGAAAAGTATTCGAATAATGGAAAAATTCCATCCGCGTGATCCTTGCAAGCCTCTCTTCATTGAGCTTGGTCTTACCATTGCCTTCCCTATTTATTTAAGAATATGTAATATTTGTCAAAAGTGACATACTTAACGGTGGGAACAAATTTTCACGCACTTCTGAAATTTATAATTACAACACACGTCGTAAAAATCGCGTTCATCAAGTGTCAGTATTAAAAGCTCACTACCCGAAATCCACATACAATACATGTACGTTCCACATACAATTCAACAATTGAAGTCGGTTCACAAATTTAAGTTAAAAGTAAAATCTTTTCTGCTGTAAAACTGTTTCTATTCAATTAGAGACTATACTGAATATCAAAAAAATGTTTATTAAAAAAACAGTGATTTATAATGAATTAGTTTACATTTGTATTGTATATTTTTTTTAGACTCTTAATATGTTTGTAACAAATAATGTACTTCAGCTTCCGGGGCAGACCCCCATCTCGATCAGGTTTTTGTCCAGTTTCCCTGATCCATTGAGTAAATGCTAAGATGGCTGCTTTTTTTGCTTCTGGAGGTAAATGTAGCTTCACTATGCACACCTTTTGTTAAACTCTTCTTTTGCTTGTAATGGTAGGAGTAGAGGTAAGGGTGAGTTACTATTTTGTTGGTAATGCAGAAAAATCAAATCTGCAGTTTGTTTACCGTTGCAAATAAGTTTTCTATAACTCAGGAACGAAAATATTTTTTTTCAAAAATTGCTAATCTCGCGCTTGTTTAAAATTTATTTTCATTTATTTATTTTAAACTTTTACTTTCAACTCTTTCAACTATTTCTAGTTAAAATGATGGGAAGGGATTCTGGAACTCAAGAAAACGTGTGCAGGTAATTTTCTTCCCCACACGTCACATACAGTTTTGACTGTTTGTTTTGACTATATAAATCTCAATCTAAACCATCTAATTTGCACGATTATTTTAATTTTGAAGGAAATAGTCTATACTTCGTCAACAGTTATTGGATGTCTGAAGCAAGCTTGAAATTAATTATTTTTGTAAAAATTAGTAACATTGTTGTGGAATTGTGACTGCAGGGGGGGCTGTTTATGTATTTAATGTTAAAAAAAAAGTTAAAAACTGTCACCTACTATGGGGAGGAGTGTAATGTTGTGAGCGCGAAGCAGTACTATGGCAACATGTGCAAAAATATAATGTATATACCTAAATAATATTAATTTTATTCGTCCATTAAATTCTAACGGCATTTTAATCATCTCAGCACCTTCTCCTGGCCCACGACTCTGGAAGAACTAATGAATTAATTAATCATGTCAAATAAATCAAATTGAACTAACGTTCTAATCTTTTCTAATGCCTACGCTTCGTCGCCTATCTCAGTCGAAGCCACCCTCCTTCTCCCGGTTCGTTCCTGAGCAGAGCTTGGCAGTACAGTTCCATGTGGCAGAGGAGTGCAACGCTCGTTGTAGATCTGTCTCATAACAGACGTTTTAACTAGTAGCTTACAGAAAGTCTTTGGCCTACGAATGAAATGCTGGCTGAAAGTGTTTGGCCTACGAATTAGGTGACGATAGGAGTCGAGTCCGGCGTTTTGAAATGAGTACGCCAAACACTTATACGAGTTGCGTACATTATATTTAGCTCGAATTCATGAGGACTTATACAATCACGTAATCCTGTTATCATTCTCAATATGTGAGACGGCAGTCATGTTGATTTGTCGCCCAGTTTTGTTTCTCCCTTTTCTCTATTGCTTTGTTTATATAGATCGTGATTTCTTTGTTATACGCGTACGGCAAATATCAGTAAAAGTACAGCAGAGTCGGGGTAATTCGAGGTGGACGGGACAGGGCCTAGCTCGAATGAATGAAAACTCGAATTATCGAAAATGATTAATTTATTAAAATAGAAATATAAGCACAATTTTTAAAACTCAAAGTATCTATATTTCAATAAAAATGTACTTGCACAATACTTTTACATTAATTGCTGAAGATAAGTTAATTACATCTTAAAGTAATTGTCAGTTTTTAGTGTTTATGTATATTGTTTCTTTTACGTGCAGCAATAGCACGCCATCTTCTGGACATCACAGTGTCAGCTGTGATTTCCCTCAGGTTGTTGTACTAACTGCACAACTAAACTAATCGTTATTTGACCGATTGGGTGGAACGACAATGCTTCGAACGTGCCAATCAACAATAAGAAAGATGTAGTATTTTTTCATGTTTTGGTAATTTTTTCGGGAATACATTTATTTATCGTTATTTGTTTATTTTAATTAATTTTTGGTAAGACGGATTATAGAGACTACTGTAATAGTTTCGATGCATAATTGTTGAAAAATATAAACACGTCAGGAAAGACAGCTATTCGGCGCGCTTCTGGCGTGAATTCTGGAATTCTCTTTCTGGCGTTCTGCATTTGTCGGTTTTGCGATTACCTAACAGATAATGTCTCATGGGCGCATGTACTTATCCCCAGGGTTGAGTTCCTACAAATCTACCGGTTTCTTCCCTGAGACGTACTGTACTTGAGTGGTTTGCCATTGTTGTGTCCAAGAGCGGTAGCGCCTTCTGACATATGAATTTGTCCTAGTTCCTGATTCAATATCTACGTCTACCTGCCCGCCAATTGAATCTCTCACAGGTTGCTGAGCTGTCCAGAAACTAATTTTGTCAAAAGCATCCAAACGGCAATGTAGGGATCTTTAATCACAGGCATGCATCGTCCTTAATTTTGACACCCAAAAAATCTGCTGTCCCCGAGACCACCAGAGACATCAAATTAAACTGTGGATGATAATAGCATAGTTTGCTTTAAAATCGCTGATAGTGACAATGGCACACACTTTTTTGAGCTTTGTAATCTCTCCCCCATCTCCTTTCCCAATACAGTTGAACTATAAATAAAATATAGAAATTTCGCTTCTGTATAATAGTACCCATTTGCTTCTATAAACGAGCTACAGGTTGTTCAAAAGAAAATAATAGATCGCAAGTTGATTTAAGACAGTTAAAGAAAATGTCTTTAATCATCTTGGAATCTATTACATTTATTTAAAAAACAGTTTATAAAATAAATTCAATTATGAGCTATAGATTGTATTTGGTAATACTGCCATCCAAATACCCAACCCCCTCTCCTTTTACATCTGTGAAAATGAGAGATCCAGAAAACGTGCGCGGATTGTACTTGTTTTCCTCAAGATTTTGAGTGAAAAATGATGAAATTTGCTGTTAATCAGAAAAAGTTATACATGTTATAGTGAATTCCTGGTTCTATTATTTCTTAAGAGAGTATGGATATTATTCCAAAGAATCTGCAAGAGTTAGGAACCGCTTTAATAGGGGCCACCTCAAAGTAGGGGAAAGAAGGGGAAGGGATCGGTTCTGGCAACTCCAGTTTGACGAATTCGCAGTAGACTTTTCGCTGTTGTTCGTGTCAGTGGCCAGTAATCAGTGGCGATGTCTCTTCGATTCAGTATCAACTGCGAAAACGACTCTTCGGGTAATGAGGCGGACTGCGAGTCTGATTTCGATCATGAGTGCATGTCTTCACAGAGGGTCCCATCACGTCGCTGCAGTATTGGCAAAGCGATAAACAAGTTTCGCTCCGTAGCCAAGGAAGAAAATGGATTCAATGCGGATTCTTGTACATCAGGAGCGAACGTGAGTGGTAAGAAGACCGTACACAAAATGGTGGCCACATTAATTGAATCGGCAAGAAGCACAAAATTGCCAAGCACAAGTGAAGAGGAGGCTATGAGCAAAATGGGGGCCAGATTATTTACGGCATCAGTTGCTTGTAAGAAACTGTCCGTCTCGAACGATAATTACTCGGACAGTTCGTGCTATTCTTCTTGTTATGAATGTACAAATGAGTCTAGTGTCACCGCGCATTCAGAAACTGAAATAGATTCCGAATCTGAGGGGCAACTGACACCGGAAGCCTTTTACAGTTTGGAGGCCTTGAATTCAGAGTTTGTTGTAAAACTGCAGTCCATAACTCCTGAAAATGAAACATCTGCTGCATCCCTGATGGATATGGACGGGGAAATGGCTGAATTCATGTGCTGATACAAGAGAATAAACATCTTTTTTAACCAAAAAATCTTGGCATGTTTCCTTAAATTCAATGTGTGAAGAAGCGCCTGTAAAGAAAGTTAAATAAGTTTTTGTTTCCAGATATCTGAAAACTTACTAGGGTATGGAATTGATAATCCGAGCTTATTGTAGTCAAATTTAAATTGTTCACATCACCACCGTGAATAATCTTATTTTATTGTCAGATTGGGGACAATAAAAATGTGCAACGCCACTGCTGAAATAAAACGCTTTAAAAACCGATCAACTAAATATGTGTTTGTACTACGGAAACGTTTGTGAATGAACTGTTTCAAAATAATCGAAAATATAGGCGTACTAGATATTTATCAATAAATGTTTTTCAAAGGAGTGCTTTTTTCTAATGTGTTACTTAATATGCATTTTAATTTAACTATATGGAGTTGTTAATTTAATTAAAGCACTATAAAGATATTTTAAATTTCCAACATTCATACTCTTCCATTTCACTTCTCTTTATAGGTTTTGTAACATAACTTTTGGAAAATGCATGTTAAGTTTCAGGTAATTATTCTTATAGTTAGATTACACTTAGAAAGTATTATCACTTAAAAGTTTATTTGCCGTAGGCTGGCCCTCTGGAGATGTTATTTCTGTTTGTTAAGCTTTAGAATAATCATTTTACTTGAACATTGTTATTATTAAAATGGAAAAAAATAAAATATATATTGCATTCGAAAATTGTTCCTTTGTTTCTTTTGCAAGTTCTTTCCTTTTCTAATATTGTAAAGGTCTTAGTGCAGTGTATAACATGTGATTGGTCTTGAGCTGATATATTGTAGCATTATTTAATCATGGTTACAATGTGTCATGTTTCTGTAGATTCTAATTTAAATTTCTTGCATTATATAATACTGTGATGGTGTGTTTAAAACTTAAAATTTTTTATGAAGAAATTAAAAAGAATCGATCTTAATTTTAAATGGCAAACTATGATATAATAAGATATGCTTTCTTTATTTAATAATATGGAAATGTGTTTAATATATACAAATAAGAAATAAAGTTTCAAATGTTTTATATTATATTTTTGATAAGTTGTGCTCCTGACCAGACAGCATAAGAATTTTGGATATTCTGTAGTGTCATTTAAGAAATACTCTTAAAGAAGCATAAGTTTATTTTTTGAAAGAAAGTTTGTTAATAATGAATAATTATATAGAATGCATTGCAGAATGTCTAATTTGTAAATTTTTGAAAATTATATATTAAACTATGATGATCCCTTTTACTAATTAATTTGCAATTCTGTAGAATTTTGTATATGTAGTTTGTTTTATGGGAAAAATTTATCTCTTGTATCATATCTCACAAAGTCCTGAGCCTAATTTATAAAGGAAATGATTGCTATAGAATTATGAAGATGTGGACTGTAGTGTGCATTGAACAGGTGAATTATTTGCCTTCATTTTACCTGTAGGTGTGTTCAACAGTTCAATTTTCTTAATCATTATCAAAGATCTCTTAATATTGAGGTTTATATTTTTTATTAAAATATTTGAGCAGTGATTTGTCATGTTTGACTAGTAATGCTCTAGTTGTAAAAGAGGAATATTACTATACTTGCAAATACATATTCTGCTTTATTTAATTTTTTTCTTCCTTCTCCACAGGTGGTGGTGATTGGAATTGCTTGAAGATAAGAACTGATGGCAACATGTAATGAAAATAGTGAATTTCCAAGAAATAATGCAATTGCAATTACAAAATGTTTCAATATTTGTTAATTTATTGTAGTTGAATATTTATGAAAATACTGATGTCTTGTAGAAATTGTCAATACTTATATCTTGGAAATTAAATTTGTATTATTCTTGCCAGAATTCTAATTTATATAAATTTTCCATAATTCTACATATCTTCCAATTGAAGTCGTCATTAAGGAAAGGATATCCAAGTTGATTAATGCCAAACAAGGAAAATCCACTTGGATAGAATTCTTAGATCCTGCCAGCAACAGAAAACTGCCTTGCAACTTAGGAAAGCCCACTCTGTTTTATTACATACTAGAGTATTCAGGTACTTTTAAGGCTTTTAGAGTAATTAGCTGATACATTGCTAAGTTTTGAAAATGGAACTGATATGAATGAGAATTGGTAATTGAGAATTCAATTAGGATAGGTTCTATAAGTGCTTGGTATTACATGACTGCTCTTGCCATATTGTTGCACTATTACCAAAACCATGTGATTCTTTCTAATGCAGTATTATTTATTTCTCATTCAAATACCTTTAGATATAATTTGCCATTATTCTAAAGTTATTTCCCACGGTGTGAAGGTATGTAATACTAGGTATGAACGTAATAGAAGGAATAACAATATGTAATACAAGGTAGTAACTCAAAATAACAAAATATTTTAAAACTTTAATAATTCATTAATATTTCAATATAAAATCTAGAAATTAAAGTAAATGATTACATTAATTACCTTAATTGAAAATGAAAATTGCCTTACATTTAATATCACCGGAAACGGCGAACGCAAAAGAAAAGCCGTCTGGCTCGAGCGCATCAGAGATTATGAAGTCGCTGATTCGATCCTTGCAAGGTGTCGGAAATTTGCATGAGTTTAATAGTTAAATGAGTTGTGACGCATGCAGAAATCAAATTCGTAGCCCAACTGCTCTGATTAGTGGTTTCCGTGGTTACTTCTAGGCGAATGCCGGAGCAGTATTCAGCAACATAAAAGAACGTGCGTAGAATACACTTCTCGCCATTGTACGTCACACAATTTTTAACGTTTTTTTTGACGTTAAATAATTATTTTAAAAAATATGGGCCGTGGACTGCGGGTGATTCATTCATTCATATCCGTTCCTTATTCCATTGATCATTTATCCCCCTCAAACCGGAGAGGGAGGTATGGGGTAGGAATGAACTGGTCCTGCAACATTCCCGTTGAGCCGTAGCAACCCTGGCATCACGATGGCCTTCCCGCCACCCCTCTGCAGGAGAGATACCTAATCACCACAATCTTGTATTGGCTGATACCACCAAAGCTGTAATTTCCTTGTTTCCATCTTTATTCGAAACACTAAACGATGTCGCAGAATCTAGTTTGCTCGTGAGTCTGGGAAAATGTCAATCAAAAATTACGCCAGAGAAGGCTCAATACCATCAGGGACACTCACTGGTGGTCGAAATCTTTGATTAAAATATTTAGTGCCCACGTGAATCCGAAATCTGCGTTTCAGGTCGTGTGCAAGTGCGGCAGTGCCTTGCTGCGCTAGTGTGCGCACCACCGCGCACCACTCGCGAGCCAACGCCTTGCCAAGACGTGCTTGCGAGGCCGCCTTATCTTTCGTACGGCCCCGCCCACGAACTTGTGTCCAGTGGTTACAATTTTTCTGTCCTTGTTTCTTTGCAAATAAATGATTTGTCAAAGTTGATGTTGTGTTTTCCTTATGGAGATCATAACATGTCGAAATAATTGACACGTTAAATTCAATTGAAAACGATAGTAAATTCAATTCTGATAAACGGGTAAAGACTATGTAACTCTTTTTTAATTCTTTTTTAGTTATGTTAACGGCACATACTTTGATTCGAGTTCTCAATTGAACAACAACACTGTCCCATTATCTTAAAAAAATGGATTTCGTATTTTGCAAAACTCAAATTCAAAATTTAGAGGTCGAAATTTAATCAAGAAATTAGGTGCAGTTTAAAATACATGTTTAAAATAATTAAAAATTGCCTATTGTAACGTATTAGCCAGCGTGCCTCATGGCATCTATTTGGGAACGCTTGGTAGAGGATTAGCCTCGCCACAGGAAGAAGGGTTTTTCCGTAAAGGGAAGAACGCGGAAACGGGAGACACAAGGCTTTGGGAGTATCCGGCCTATAGAAACTTTTCACTGTTATAACAAGCGAGGGGGTGGCGTGACGTAGTAGGTCACGTGGGCCTCGCCTATATAACAGAGTGTACAGAGCCAGTGGGTGGGTTCTGGAGACAGTGGGAGAACCTCGTGCGTGTGCACAAAACTTGGCGCCACGACGGTGCATATGCGAGCCAGGCTCGCGAGGCTCGAGTCACTAGTTGACGAAGCCTGCGGACTTTAGGTCCTTGGGTGACTGCGGTCACGGGGGAGCGATGCTGTGTGCGTGCTCCGAGGTGAAGAGTGGTTGAGTACCACGATTCACGCCGATTCTCAATCGGATAAGATCGCTCCTGCGATCGAGGCAAACCAGCCGTTGGTGCGCCAGAACGGACTTTGTGTCCCAGCGTGACATCCGGTCACGGAAGCTAGGCTTTGTGCGCGCTTCAAAAGTAGGAGTGGCGAATGCCACAATCAAAACCATCTTCAATCGGGTTTGGATCGCTCCCGCGATCAGGGGATAGTAGGTCTATCAGAGCTAGGGTGTAAGTAAATTATTAAGTGTATATATTTGTTTTGTTTTCTTTGTTAATAAATATATTTGTTATATGAAAGCTCTGTGTCTGTGGTCGCTGTGAGTATCCATGACGTCACACTATATTTCACGCAAAATTACTTGAAAACTACTCAAATTTTCGAAAATTTGTGCATGACCTTATTTCAAAATATGTTTTTAAAGAACAGATTCCATGAAGGGAAAAAATGTATGTTCCGTATTTTAATTGTAGGAAGACGCTGTAGGAAGAACTGTTCAAAAAATCAGGGATTTCAACGAAAATAAGACCTTCACCATTCTCTTAAGCGTTCTTTGTGTTCATTTTGAGAAAAAATAAAAAAATAATGTTATTTAAAATTAAAATAAGTACTGAACACAATTAGACATATTTTTTCTGACCGTTCAGTCGTGTCAGATTTACTGTCAAGCTGAAAATACTGGACAACTTGTGAGTCTTTGCCTTGGTTTCCATCGTGAAACTCGAGCGGCAGAGTTCTGCGCGAAGGCATGGGAGCCTCCGGCAAAACCCAGAGGGGAGCGAAGACTCCCGAAGGCCGGCGGACTTCCGCGAAAC